GCAGGAATGTAGCCATCAAGCTTTGGGACATGTATTTTCTTATATGTTGCTGATCTGATAAAATGTGTTAAAAATTAGGCAATAGGCTTTAACTGAAATGTCTATGATTCTGTTTTACTGATCGTAGGTCTAAACCCATTGGGTTGAAGGCATATAGAATGTTATTGGTAAAGTTAGCCCCTTTGAAAGCAAAGGGTATTTTCAAATTTACATTTAATTTAATGGCAATTTTGTTTCCTTTCAAGATGTTAAGCTTGTTCCTAACAGGGGCAGTCTGAAAAAAAAGTTGCAGTGGTGGCCCGAAATTTGACTGTGTAATTTCTGTTGAAGTAATTTCCAGATGTGTATGTGCATATCTATGAGTACATGTATATTTTAGAAGACAAATTATCCTAGTGTCATCATGTGTGAAAATTGCAGTTTATGGCACGACTTATGTGGTGGCAGACTGAACAATGTCCTCTCGTTCTCTCCTTCATTTCCTCACAAAGTCCCTAATTTTTCTGAACAGAACAGGAACATTATCGCAGTAATGGGCCATTTTTCTTCCTGTCACCTATGATGTTTTAGGACTTGTGTTATTTGCCTTCAACTTAGGACTGTATATGCTCACTCTTTTTTTTTTTTGCCTACTGCATTAAAAGCATTTTTTATTCCCACTACCTGAATTTCATTACTTTCCAATATACTGCAGTATCTGGCTTTGATAACTCTCTCTTCCAAAATCAGCAATGACTTCTTCTTGGCTACTTGACAATGGTGAAAATTTTCAAAGTAACTTAATCTTCTAAATTAAATCTGCTTGATTTATTTATTTTTAAGGCCTTTTGTCTGTCTTCATCCTTCCTGATTTGTCTCCTGCTTTGTCAGCGTGAGAACCATTAGCACCTGAGTTCCTGCGAGATTTAAGAGTTTTCTTATTCTTATGCTTCCTCAGTGGTCTTCCAGTGGTTCCTGTACACTGCCTTTGTCATTGTACTATACAATTTCTTCTTGTCTGAGAGTTTAGCATATTCAGAGGGCTATATGTATAATAATATTTGGGGCAGCAAGAATTAGTTTGGAAAAAAAAGTAGTATGAAATAGGAGAAAAGATACTGACTGGTTGGTAGAAGAAAAGATACAGGACTTTGAATATAAATACATGCAATGAGATAAGGTTACTACTAAAATCCAAATTTACATGGCTGGAAAATAGTTTTAAGGGCAATTAAATCCATTTTCGTTTTGATTATGTCTGCATACAGGTTCATCTGTGTTTAATGAATGCACTCTATAAACATCCTATTGAAGTTAGTTAATGATAACTTTCTGTAAGCACCCATAAGAAAGCGTGCCTTCTGTGTGAATGCAAATAAGAAGGTATAGGAAGTCATTCTTAGTTTAGGACAAGCAAGAACGGCTTTACTGAGTTAGCATAAAGCTCATAAAACCATACTGAGTCAAAGTATAATAGCAGTAGCAGGTACTCAAGGAAGGAGTATAAGCAGCAGAGCACGTGCAGCGATCCTCTCTTGCGTAACTTCCCAACGTTAACTCATGTTGGATTTTGAGGACTTGCTAAGTTGAAGGTTTCAGATATCATGTTTTATAGTATATGAGGTGTCTATTCGTGATGGATTTGACCAGTACCTTTTTAGACATTTATAGTTCTGGTCTCCTCGACATCCTTTGGGAATACTTTTCAAGTCTAAATAATGCGTTCCATTTTTGGAAAAAACACTTCTTGTTGTTTGCTAATTATTTCCTTGCTTCCCTGAGTTCTTATGTTATATGAAATATCTAATAAATAATGAGAGGACACCCTCTCCATGATTTTGTAGACTGAAATAGATGAGAACCTAAACAGACTGCTTAGTTTCTCTTTTTTTTTTTTTTAAAAAAAAAGAGAAATTCCAAGCATTGTTGATATTTATTGCATATAATGCATTTTGTCTTTTGTCATGTTACCATATACCTTCTTGAAGTCTGTTGTTAAAAATATGTAAATCAAAGAGAATATGTAGTTTAATCATCATGTTGTAGGTGTGTATTTACAAATACGTATGTCTTCCAACTTTCCACTTTATTTTTATAGCACTAACAATAATTTATCCTATGTTCAAGTAGTCATCAGTATATAATCTAACTTTTAGACTGTTGAAATGCTCTGAACTTTATTAAGTTTGTTATGCTCTGAATTTAATAAGAAGTTGGGATATAGGAATTTCTGGTATGTTTACATGCATTAGTGATGTTCGGTGACATGATTTGCTTGCAAATACATGCGGTGTAGTACCTCTTGAGATGGCCTTTGGTGTCCCACCTGGCTTATTTATAGCTGCTGTTCTGGGTGCTGTGGTCCTCAGTTCATGTTTACCTTCCTACATACTGAGGGGTGTCTCCATTGTCACTAGATAACTGCATGTGAACAATTGAACTAAAGCCTTGATTTTGGGAGGGGAGAGTGGGGGGGATGTAGAGGGGGTTTCCATGATCAGTAGTGTTAAAGACATGAGTAGTATAAACAAATATTACTTGAAAAGATCAAGATTGTCTGGAGTCTTCAGCAATAAATGCAGCTGTTGTTGCTTAATGGCATTTCACAACGTCTGGTTACAGGTTAGCATCAGTAGTGAGCATGGGGGAAGGATGGACGCAAAGTGCAGAGTTTTGGGTGGACTTGTCCTTACTTAATCCCTATTATAATGTCATGCTATATAATAGGAAATAATCTGGTGGGTGTATTTGCCCAAACAAGATTTCTGAGTCCACTGAAACCTGGAAATTCCAGCAAAATGCTGATTGTTGTTGGAGCCAGGGTTATATTATGATTTAATGGCTTTTCTGGGCTTCATTTGATGACCTGGCCTAGAAAAACATTTTGAAGTAATAAAGCGTCTGTTTGGCTCCATACTAATGAGAGAAGCATTGCTCTTTGCATTAACTGTTCTTTAGGAAGAGCCGTGGAGAGCTACTAATAAACGTTATTAAAAAGCTTAAGCAAGATTGAAGGAAATAGAAAACAGAGAAACTATTCCATTCTATGTGAAGTGGGTATATTAAAAAGGGGGGGGGGAAGCAAGCCCACAGAGTTTTTGCCTCCCCTCCATGTGACGTGCAGCTTGCTGCACTTCAGTTACGTTGCCTCTGAGATATGTTAAAGTGCAGCTCAGTTTAATGAAGAAGTGGATAGTACAAATCAAGGCTAGAGACTATTTACGGCAGAGATTGGGTAAGTAAATGCAGCTGTACATAAGTGTTTACTAATATTGTGCAAATGTTATAATATCTAGCCTGTAGCATTTAAAACAATACTCAGAACTATCATTTTTTGGTGGTCCTTTCTTTGTTTTACTGAAGTAATTTGCAAGTGTGAGTGGTTCATACTATGCAATAGATTTATGCATAAGACTGATAAAGGATTTAATTTTATTTTTCAGACTTCCTACAACAAAAGAAATAACTTTCTTTTATTTTCATATACTTATTTTGTTTTAAATTCTTTGCTATGTAAGTAACTGCTTTGTCTATTTTAGTGCAGTGCTCAAAATAATTTCAGTGGGAGTTAGCTGATAGTTTCTGGTGCCTTCGTGTTATTTTAATTATTTTTCTACTGGTGAGGGAGGGGGGAAAACAGCCTATACTCTGAACCTCCTAGGTACAGTATTTTCAGATATCTAGAATCCAACTCCAGATCACTGAAAACTCCCCAGCGTCAACTTATTCCAGGAATTCATTCAACCGTCCTAGTAGGATATGATTTTGGCTGTTTGCTGTTGTTCTCTGTGTCTTTTTATAAAGATTTGTATGTGTTCTTATACTGAGTTTTATATAGAGAGTTCTGTTTCAAATTTGTGTGTGTTTAAATTTGTGTAAACTTAATACCAATATACACAATAGAGAAATACAGTGAAAGCTTTTGGTTTTGTTTAAGGCTTCCAGGCTTTTGATTTTGATAAGTTTTTGTCCCTAGCAGCTGGAATGGACCTTCCAGTTGCTATAATGCTGTTATGAAACAGGATTGTAATGTTAGTCAATTAGTAATTTCCAGAGGGGTTGTTTTAGCAGTTTCAGTGCCTGCCATTTGGGTAGTTAAATCTCAGTGCATAGCCAAAGAGCTGAGGAGGAAGAATGATCAGTATAGATTGTAAAGACCTATACCGAAGCTGATTTGAATCTTGGGAACTGAAAAAGGAAAAGCAAACTCCTTCATTGTGGTAGTGTATTAAAGAAAATATTTTTAAGCATTCAATATCTTGTGATCTAGGGCATGTCTTCCTTTTGCATCATCACGTAGGAAAGAGTACGTTAAATATTATAGTCTTATCATGATTTTCGCTATCTGGATTAATCAGAATGTGTAATCTTTTTCAGATAATAACTCCATTTAGGAGGCTAATATTGTGTGCTGAGAACAGAAAAGAAATGGAGGACTGGATAAGCTCTTTGAAGTCAGTTCAGTCCAGGGAACACTATGAGGTAAGTTGACATCCCTCTTGGTGCAACCTGTTCTAGCTCAACAAATCAAGCTACAGGACACAGAACTGGGGTATTCACCCTCCTTAGTGTGAAAAGTGTGTCTAATGTCAGAGTGAAGCTTAATGTTAAGACCTTTACTAGCAAAATGAGAGCTTATTATCACACTTTTGTTTCAAAGTTTGGAAGGACAGCTGGCTAAATACCTTTTGGAAAATACTTTTGGTGAACATTGCATTGTCATCCCCTATAATGTGGAACCGTAGGTAATTTCAGTCACCGTAGCTGTGTTCTGTACTTGCAAATTTGTCTTAACTTCTCCTTTACTAGACCGCACAGTTTAATGTGGAACATTTCTCAGGGATGCATAACTGGTACGCCTGCTCCCATGCCCGACCTACCTTCTGTAACGTGTGTAGAGAGAGCCTCTCTGGAGTCACTTCTCACGGCCTGTCTTGTGAAGGTAAAATAAACGCTTTCTTCCCTCTGTTTATAATGCCGCGTGTGTTGACAGATGGCTGAAAGTTTAAGTTGAGTAATGATTCTGAGAATAATGAGTAAGAAAAAAGCCTGAAGGGAAAAATCTGTTCACTAGAGTGACTTACTTTCAGGCAGAGGGACTGCTAATCATTTGGCTTGCCTTCTTTGTGCTCCAGGTGCCTTTTTCTAAGTCATCCCAATAAAATGGGTCCTTCTGCTGCGGCAACCAGTTTGGACAGTTTGCCAGAAGATAGGATTTATTTGATTTTCCTGTCAAAAATGTGAAACAAAATTGTGTTACTGGTTTGCAGAACCAACATTCCTCAGGAAAAAAATCATAATGGTAGTTTCTGCCCAAAATCTATAAAAAAATTTAACACTTTGTTCAGCGCTGTGACCTCTTCCCCTCCAATTCTTTGCTCTGTTGCTGCTGCCTGATCCTGCAGTACAGGCGGGACAGATGAGGACAGATTTATTGCTTTAAAAATTCTCTCATGCAGTGAGAGGGTAGAGATGTACATGCCTTCACGTTTTGATGGCTCAACAGATGAAATCCAGCACAAAGAAAAAGGAGATGTAGCTAAAACTTCAGCATTAAGCTTATCTGGAGAAATTATATTTATTATATATATAAAATATATGTAATATGTATTTATAATAAACTTGAAACAGCTCCTATATTTTCTGTTGCAACTTCTGTCAAAAAGTGGTAACAAACCTGCTTATGTTAGAATCCGGCAGAAAATAAAGCATCCATGTGACCTTATGATATATATGAAATGTAGAGATATTTAATTACCAAACCAGCTAACTGTCCAGAAAAGAGTTACAGTTCTAACATTCAAAACTTGATTTTTTGGATGCATGTTACTCAACTGCAAATGCATTTCTGTTGTTGATGCTGTTATAATACTTGAGGTCTGAGTATAATAATGTGTATTAAAGGAAATCTTACAAAGGAAACATTAACCCACTGTCCTGAATTGTCCATGCTTTTAATGTAGTTAATGGTGCAGTTGCCAAGGAACGGGATGAACCTGTTTCATAGAAATTAGAAGTAGCATAGTTACTTCCAGCTTCTGTGGTGTATGCTTTCCACTGCGTATGTGTCGTTTGGACAGTTTTAAGGCAATTATGGTCTTTTCAATGTCTGATATTGGCAGATGGAAGTATCATGTGCTTAACTGAAATGCAGTTGTATTGCCTTTGTGTACAAATACAGTTATGCTTGCTCAGGCAAAGGAAAGACTGCTTTGCTTTCATAAAGAATTTATCCTTTCGTAAGTTAATATTATAGCTATTGTAAAAGGCTGTTTAGTAAGAATTATTCTTGTAAGATTAACAATGTTGATGGTTGTAGTTGTTATCTGTTTTTTCAGTGTCTTATTTTGCTTCTAAGTATGGTTTTAATTTCCAAGGTGTTGGTGTTGACTTTACATTAAGGAAGTTTCCTTCATTTCCAGATTTAGACTTTGTCACGTTTCTGCATAACTTATTACAAACTATTGCTACATTTATCCATATTTCTGATGCCAGTTGATCTTTCAGAAGTTTTTACAAATGGCTTCTGAAGGTAGTTTGGATTTGCTTTCACCAGTCCACAGTTTCACAAACTTGTATGACCTGGATTGGCTGATACATACATACTATGATATTCTTTTATAAGTTTACCTCTTCTTCTTAACTACTAGTTCACACCTATTTTCCTTTATTTTTTTCCAAGTTGTTTTTTTTTTTTTAAAAAGGAGAACTTTAATTATGCATCTAATCTGAAGCTTTTGACAGTTGACTTTTTTACTGGAATACTCATATTTTGTCCCTGTTTCTGTATACCTGTAAAAACCCATGTTAACCATCCTTAATTTCTTCATCTAAGAAGTGTATTTTGGTTTTGTAGTAGTTCTTTCTCTGAAATTCTTACGTGACCGAGTTCATATTTACTTGCTTCTGCAATGTACGCTGCTAATGCATTTCACCATCTATTTTTTGGCTTACCCTGTGTTAGCAATAGACACTGTTTGAGGAGACGATGTAGGAAGTATGGAGTCTTAAGATTCCCCAGACGTGTTCTGTGCTACTTTGTCTCATTATATCTTTAAAAAAACTGTTTAAATATTCATGCCTGGCGTCTTAAACTTCCAGCACTGCTTTACACTGGGAATCCATTTATATCTATACTAAATTCAATTGTTTGTGTGGTCATTGATCCCAGGCTACTCTATTATATCTTGTATCAAGAAGCATGAGAGGCTTCTTCACAAGAGATATTGCAGCTTTTCTCCTTCTCTCAGTGGTTTGGGTTATTGTCACACCAAATTATCTTGAAAGTAGCTTAGAGTCTTTGCACTCTTTGTGGTCTGATTCTTGACTGTTAACTATAGGTAAAAATAAAAATAAATCTCATTGCTGATATTTTGCAGCTTACAGTACTTTAGAAGGTCAGTCCTGTAATATTTTGTTCTCTTGGACCTTGTGGTCTCCAGCGGCACTACACAATGGTTTTTTTTTCAGCTTGACCACACAACAAGCCTCATTTCTTTTGGAGATCAGATGGGTGCCTTCTTTTTCCAGGGCATCTTGCCTTCTGGTAGCCTTTGGCAAAGGTTGACCAAATTAATTGCAGGCCACCCTGAAGAAACTTCTGTAAGTTTTGTGGAAGCCAGTGTAGGAAAAGAGGGTATGTTAATACCTTGCTAGGGAAAAGACTGTAATGTGAACTGATATCTTTTTAGAAGTCAAAGAATTGATATGTCTATCAAACTGAAGATGTAAATTCATATCAAACCAGGCTTCATTCTTTCTACTGCTCCAGAAAAATTGACTTTTACAAAATTTAATCATACACTCCTTTGAGATGCAATGCTGTTCCTTCTACTAGTTTCTTCTTTTATGTCTTCTCGAAAGATAATCTGCTTTTCAAATGTCTATGTGTTGTGTTGCTCTAGCTAGCTCTAGAGGACTGATCTCTGCAACATTTGTCTGCAGTCCTTACTAGGAGAGACAAGTAATAGGTTTTTTGCCTTGCTTTGGACATTACTCCAAACTAACTGAATCAAGTAAGGCTTTTGTTTATGCTCCTCAATGTTTCTCTTACTCAGAGTTTAGCTTGCTGTATTCTCAAGAGTCTAAGCCTAGGAAGTTGTCAGGTAAACACGGGGATACATGGAGTATTTAGGCAAAAAAACCTAAAGAACTACAGATCATTATCTATAGAAACACTTTCAAAGCTCTCTAGCCTCAATTACTCTGTATTAATACTGCATTTCTATCCAAGTCACTGCTAGTGGAATGCTGCCTTTGTGATTATTCTCAAAGATGTATTTCTTCATGTAGTGTTTTCATTATCATGACTGAATCTTGATTATCAAATATACCTAATAAGGTGGAGATTGCAGTTAAATTAGATGCTTTCTCCTGTGATGAATTGCACAGACAATATTGAAGGAACACTTTAGGATCATAAAGTCAAGCAAGAAAATACTGGGATTAAATTGCCTCTGCAAATGCATTTTGTGCACTTTGTCTTTTTTAATTATAATTGGGTGTTTTTTTGCCCACAAACCCTCATTCTTCTTACCTACTGCACAGGGTATTGTATATGCACTACTTGGGCAATCATTGTCTCCAGAATTTTTGCCACATTTTCTGCACAGGCTGGAGAATGGATAGTGAATGAAGAGGTCAGGAAGAGAAGGGATGTTCTTTGTTAAAGAATGGAGTAATAGACAACTGGGTTCTGTGATTTTGTGTCACACTATGCCTCTCTGTAAAGGGAAATCACTTAAATAAGATTTTTGATCAAATCAGTAGTTGTATGTTGTTTATAATCTGGGATCTGTATCACAGAAATGCCGAATTTTCTATAACCGCAAAAATCAGTTGAAGTTGTTCTGAAGCCACTGATCCTTTGAAGATACACAGTATTGAAAAAAATGTTCTTAATTGTAGTAGTACTGAGCATCATCATAATAATTGTGATAATAAAATAATAATAATAATAATAATAACAACAACGACAACAATAATAATAATATTTAAAGGCCAGGAAGACATTAATACTGTCTAAATTAATAATGTCTAAAAAGCAGTATTTTGTTAGCTTTTGGTAAATAAGGCAAATACGTGTTGAAAATTATTATGAACCAGAGTATGGCACAGCTGCATACTTACCAAGAACCATCCATTGCGTGAAATGAATGAGGGTCTTATTCTCAAAAAGTGTATGATCATGTAACTGGAGACTTTACTCCTGCATATGGAAGCTATATTGCAAAGTTATATTGCAAAGTTAAGTTGCAGGGGTAACTTTCTAGTTCTTGACTTGGTAATATGAGTATTCTTTTAACACTCTGTTTGTAATATTAAATTAGCTCAAAGAGTTATTTGTTTGGGTGAAAATAGTAAAAACTTCCAAGAAACTGCTGAATTTTATCCTTTTATATTTACTTATAATGTATGCATAAGCTTCCAATTGGAGTGAAGTTAGGTTGCTCTCTTCACGTGAATCACGCCATTTTCACTGTGGCTTGTCCATCCGTCGTATGATAGTGTTCTTGCAAACAAAGCAGCAGGTTTCTGGGAATACCTGAAGACAAATCCTTCCATCTTGACAACTTAATCTATAGATACCAGCTCAGGGGTCTTCAGATCAGTTTCAAAACTTTGGCTTTGGCCTTTGAAGTTGGAAAAAAACAGTCTGAGACAGTTCTTCTTTGAAGAACACAGAAGTGAAAACTCATCATAAAATAGGTGGTAGGTAAGTTTGGGGAAGAAAATATTGAGTGTCCTGCCAATGTAGATGAATTAATTGATGGGTGGTTAGAATGAAAGGCCTTGAGACAGAAGTGTTCTGTAACAAAGCTGTGTATTTTCAGTGCAGGAGATCCTATGATCACATTCAGTAATGTTGACTTTTCTTCACTGTAGATAATAATAGCTCTAGATTTAATCACTGTGTCTGACAGCAGATGTTGGTACCACTGTGACAACTGTTTGCTAATTAAGTGATTCTCTTGGTTGGCTTTCTGAAAGACCTGCTTCATATTCCAGCTAGAAACATTTACTCAGGAAATTAAAATTTAAAATAATATTCTATGAATATTCTAGATTTGGTCTGGCTAAATTTTGCCTTTTCTCATCTTTCAACTTTCACTGATGAAGTAAGAGCAATTGATGTCTAGTAGTTTGTCTGCATTTCCAAAAGACTTCAGATATCAGATTGATTCATGAATGGGATGCAGTGTCATCTGAGACAAAAGAAATTAGGGGGTAGTGGTAACTAAGGTTGAAATTTGATTTAAAGTTTTCCTTTCTATACCTGTCTTTTCTGTACTGCTATGTATTTTGCTCAAAATTTACATCTGTGTCTTAAGGCCATTGTTTTTGATAATGTTTAATTCTCAGAGTAACATGAATTGTTGATTGATGATATTGGGGTTGCAGGGGGGTGACCTACAGAAAGTCTGATCTGAGATTTGGTAAGTTATATACTGTACCCACAATGCAGACATTAGCTGTCACTTGCCATCTGTGATGTGGCTTGCTGTAGCTCTTCAGATCTTGAGTTTGAATTTGTCCTTGCCTTGCTAGGAGAGCAGAGGTTGAATTCAGGGTCCTGAGATCTAGTTGAATCATAGGTCAATAGGATTTGAAAATTCCCTTATTTTTTTATACCTTTGGAATTTGGAATTTCCTGTTGCCCTTCATCCTTGATTTGTTGTATTTTGGTCTCTGTGGCAAAGACAAATGCATGTCATTTATGAGTGGTGTGTCTTCTTCATAACATTCAAGTGGCAAAACTGCTCAAGGCCCATCACTTGAAAATGCGAGACTACCCTGTTAGCTGAGGAATATGGGATATTTGCACGCTTTGAGTTTATGAATGGTGCTTTTCAAAATGACAAGGGGAGATACTGTAAAAGCAACAAAACTCCTTTTTCTGTTTCCTTCTCCTTTTTTGAGCTTAGCACATACTTTCACGCATCTCTCAGAACAATGAGGATTGCTTTCATACTCGGATGTTGCTTACATAGTCTCAATTCAGTTTTTAAATTGATCTGGCAGTGGATCAGTGAAATTAAAATGAGGAATTTATGATTCACAAGACCTTTTGTACCATCGCTTAATGTTTTTTAATGGTGGACAAGCTTCCTGTCAAGTATTTGTGTGAAAAGAGACTACTACTTCTGGTCTGCTGGCTAGTTCTCATAAACCTTTAATGACTTTTGCCAAAATAATTTATATAATGCACTCTAAACAGAATGATGTCATGCACTTCCAGTAACAGAAATACCCACAGTTGGGTGCGTCAGTCTGTTTGGCCTAATATGATATCATTAACTAGTCATATTATTTGAGTTTAACAAAATACAAATAGTTATCAGATTGTCAGAATGTCTCCCTGTACTACACACTTGTGCTGAGTGTTCTGATTAGTAGATTTTTAATAAACAATCCAGCAAGAAATCAGGCTCTTCCTCACTGAATGTGACCTCTTGGAAAATATTGTAACCACCAGTATCCTGAATAAATATATCACCACTGATATATTTCTCAGCTTCTGGGAAAACAGGCATAGTATGGTACTCAAAAGGGATTCTTCAAGCAAAGAAAGAGAGCAAAATACTTCTGTGAAACTCTCCCATCACCTCTTGCAAATTTAAACCAGGTATCTGGTGAGTTGTGTCACTGGAGGAATAGAAAAGGCAAAAATACAGCTACAGATATGGTTGTTCCTTAGTACCTTGCATTGCACCTGAAAAAATGGGGACCAATGTGGATTTGAGGACACACTTGACATCAGCCACAGCTAAGCATTAAACCCAGTTTAGAGAGTTAAAGCTGACGTGATTATGAACTGAATTTTCTGTTAGTTGGATTGTGTCACATGTGCAACTCTTAAGTGACATGTACAGAATACCCATGTTTAATTTTTTTAAAGGCATGTATCAGTGAAATACAGCAAATAACATAGTATATATGTTTATGTGTGCCTTCCAGTGTGTAAGTTTAAAGCACATAAAAGATGTGCTGTCCGAGCAACAAATAACTGCAAATGGACTACGTTAGCCTCGATTGGAAAAGACATCATTGAAGATGAAGATGGTGTAAGTACTATTCATATTTGCAGTATTTTCCAAAGCTGTTTCTTCTTTATGGGGAAAAAAAAAAGAAAGGCTAAGCATAGAAATGTTGCCATGTGACCCATTGAAGTTAATGGTAGGTAGCTATATTCCTGAGCACTTTTCAAAGATTAATGTGGTATTTGGAACAAAAGTTATATTCCTGTCTCACAAGACAAGTTTAGTATCTGTGGGCACTAGATTGCAGCCGTGTTACAAGATTTTAAAGGCCACCTGCAGAGAAACTCTGAAGCTGGAGAATTGCTCCAGAAGTTCCTACTGCTCTTAAGCAAAGGTGGTATTTTATAGTGTCACCATGCTGTTTTGGCAATCTATTTTGTGTCCTCCTTACGACAGCTGTTCCCCAGGAGGCCTGTTTGGAATTCACTGACGTGTGTGGGGTTTTTTACTGATGAAAGCAGGAATTTTAAAATTAGCAGGAGAAATGACAAAAGCTTTTCAGAGGTTTATTGTGATAGATGGGTTATTTTTACAAACACAGCTATGTATATGCCACTAGCATGAAACTTCTTCCTAGAAGGTTAGTACTAAGTTGCACACCTATGAGTGTCCTGAGTTGCTAACAGTATTAGTGGGACAAAGAGTGCACCAAGTAAAGCTCTGCACTGCATTTAGGGACTACTTTATAGAAGTGTGACTTACCAGCCATGGTGAGGGGGTACGTAAAGCCATAGAGGTATTCTGCTGTCCTGCCTATTCTTCTGAATATTAGTTATTTTCATTGGTTTGTGTCGTGCAGTCAACGTGAAGTGAATGGGTGCTTACTTGTATTACTGAGTCTCTAGATTTAACTGCCCCATTTTTGTGTGGTTATTTGCTACCATAGTACCATGAATAGTTGAATGAGGCGTGTCTCCCTTCTTCAGCTGTCAGATTTTCTGCCTAGCATGTGAAACACCACTGTAGTCCACATTCATAGCTGTTGCCTTGCAAGCATCAGTGGCACTTATCCTGGTCAGCCATACCTGCTTCTTTGATGATAGGGTAGAGCGGTGGGAAATAGTGCAAATCCACCTATATTTGAGAAACAAAAGCCTCCACTTTCTGAGTATTTAACTTCTATGACTGCTTCTTCACAGATAGCTATGCCTCACCAGTGGTTAGAGGGTAATCTGCCCGTCAGTGCCAAATGCGCAGTCTGCGACAAGACTTGTGGCAGTGTTTTACGCCTGCAAGATTGGAAGTGCCTTTGGTGTAAAGCTATGGTAGGTGCAATGAACCGCGTCCAAGCAGCTGGGATTTTGCCAGCTTTATTGCTCACTTTATTTTGTCATTTTGTAACTGTGCTTTTGGATTAAGTGGGAGCAGGCAGCTTGTGCAAACTCAGGTCTCTCTAACACTCGTAATTTCTCATGACTGTTTTAGTTGCTTCAGTTAATTTTTAATGTGCCCACAGATGCAGCTTTTCTTTAATAGGTGTTGTCATCCTATATATTTTCTCTGCCTTCTCCTAACTGATAACGGGAATAGGGAACTGCCTGTTCCCTATGCCTGATAATCATATGTTACTTTCTTGTCTCTTTTATTGTAGATATTGCTGTAATAATATTTTAATAATATTAGTAATATTAATATTGATGTAGTAATATTTTTAGAGCTGCATAATCTTGACATTCTCTTTTTCAGGACACTCTATAGATTGCTGATTTGAAATTCTTTAATGTGGTATTGCTGTTTTCCCAAAATAGAGTTTTCTCTTAAGTCTTTTAACTTGCCTAAAAAGATGGGTTTCCTATAGAAGTGGAAAGTCAGCAGTTTTTTGCTTGTTGAAGCTTTCTCTGTGTAGATGTCTGAGGCTTTGTGTGTAGGCAGTGGGAAATAATTGTCATCTCCAGAGATGATTTGAAATGGAGGTGAAGTGTGGCACCTTCTGATGCGCCTGTTTTTCCAATAACTATGGAAGAAGCCTCTGCAATTTGTAGTTTTATGGGACCCACCTTTGGCAGGTTGGTCTGGCTTGGCAGGTGTGCAAGCTTTAGTGCAGATACATTTTTCAGAACAGCCAGGTGGACCAGGCATGTACAGAGCTATGTGTTCCTGCAGCCCCCAGCACAGATGCTGGCTGCTGGCAACTTGGTCCTCACTTGCTCGTGGATGGAGGTAAGCGATTCCCTTGAAAGGACGATTCATATCTGCTGTAGGGGTAGTTGAAGATGAAGTACTCCAAACTTACATTTTGTGGAACGAGTAACAAGCCTTTGTGGTTGAACACCCACGCTTTTTCTCCAGTCTCACTCCTCTTCCCTCTACACTTAAATGTTACATATTAGTGCATTTTTGTTCATAGATACTGTATTAATTACACTTTCACTATAGGGAAATAATTTTTTCTTTCTTTTGTAGGTTCACACTGCCTGTAAAGATCTGTATCCTCGTAAGTGTCCACTTGGCCAATGTAAGGTATCGATCATACCGCCAACAGCACTAAACAGTATAGACTCTGATGGTACGTAGTATTGTAGTGTGTTCAGTGGTAGCTCTGGACTTGCAATGCCTAGTGAGATCTGTGTAACTAAACAAGGCTAAAATTATTCTGCTGAGCAGGTGAATTCAGTCTTCAAATTTAGAGAAAAGTATAATTTTCCCTGTAACTTTCTACAGGATTATTTAACTGATGTGATTAAAAAAAAATGTTTTTGAAAGCTCCCCCACTAGAAATTTTCTCCTGTTGTTTTATTTATGACCCTTGGAAACTTTTGAAGTGAATGACCAGGATCCTCAGATGAAGTGGGCTGATGCCTGCCTGGCATGCATCACTCATTCTGTGAGTTCTCTAATTTTGGATAACTTTGTTTTATGCAGAGGTAAGCTAGCTGAACAGCTCAGATCCAACAACCACTTTACCCAGGCTGAAGAGAGGAATTGCTTCCATAGCTTCTCTACTTTTCTTTTAACTATAAGCAGTGTAAGAATCCTGCAACACACAGATAAAAACCCAGCAAATGTTCAAAACTCAGAGATGCTCTTTGGTGGCTCAGAATAAAGATGTGTGAGCAGCGGGAGACTGCACTTAAAGGCAGGGAGTGGATTTAATAAGGAGTATCGTGAAATCAAACTACTTTAATTTTGTAGTTTGTGTTGATAGCAAACGTAGACCAACAAATAATGTAATTTAATGAATTTTATTGTATGAAGTTAGTAAAAGTGATTGTTTATTCTGTATGTATTCACTCTATTTACTTGCTATATTGTGTCTTAGACCAGAGCATCATGCTGCTATTTATTATTCATGCTAGGAAGATTGTTCCATATGTGAAATTATTTTTCTTGGCATTTAAATAAATTAATTGAACCTTATTTTAAATTCTGCATCATGATAATGTGGAATTAAATTACCATCCTTTAATGCCAATCTTTTATTTGTAGCTTTAGTAACTTTTTTAGTAATTGAAAAAAACATAGCCCTTTTAATATCACCTGAAACAAATGTCAAAACCTATACATGTGGTGTCTGATTTTGAAGTGTTACTTCCATGGACTGATCATATTAGTGACAACAGTGTCCATTAGTAGTACTTATACTAAGGGCTTCACAGAATGTTTGCTGTAATTAGTTAAGACCTGCATTGACCATAATAAGCTTTAGATCACAGCTGAAGGTCTGTTGTTCAGTGATTCTATTATAATTAATAGTATAACTTCAGTCTGAGAAAAAAGTTCTCAGGAAAGTTTCACCTGGGAGTAACTGAGTGCAGTAACTTTTAAAATCTGTGAGTACGCTTAGAAAGCTCATACAGATGTGGATGATCCAGTTCAACCCAGTAAAGTTAAAGAAAAATTGTAAACCAAACACTTGTAACTGAGATATATATTTAATTTTGTGATAATCTGTGAAGATGAGATTTCAGAAATATTCTAAAAGGTTAATGAACTCTTTCAGTGTGGAAAAACAATAAAGCTATTGTCTTCAGGATTTTACTAAATCTAGGCACTGAAGATACTGGAAGGGAAAAAATGAACTGGTAAATCCTGAGAAATTCTGTTTTCCTTACAGGGGTAATATTCAGTTGAGCATTTACGTTATGCATGATAAAATGTACTCCTTTTGTCCTTCATCCCTTTCTTCCTCTTTCCCATGATTTCTTTTTGTGTTGTTCATATTAGAAAGCCTTATTTATTTCATTCTTTCTAACTATGTTCACAGGTTTCTGGAAAGCCACATGCCCGCCATCCTGTGCCAGTCCTCTTTTAGTTTTTGTTAACTCAAAGAGTGGAGACAATCAGGGAGTAAAGTTTCTTCGTCGATTCAAACAGTCGTTAAATCCAGCTCAGGTGTTCGATTTAATGAATGGAGGACCTCACTTAGGGTAATGACCTTGGAAATCTTGAGCAATCCTTTCTGCAAGGGAATTTAGTGCAAAGTATAGTGTTGTGTTGTCCCCTTGTTACTGTAATTCTATAACCAGTATCTACTGTGACTTCCTAATTGAAATCTAAGAGATAACGAAATTTCAGGATGAATTACAGTGGGTGAAGGGATTGTAGGATAGTATTTTCTTTTTAGAAAAACTCACTTGAAAATTCAAAACCTGTCAGCCCAAGTATTTTGTGGCTTTTTGGCTAGCTTTGACTTCTGTTAACTGCTAAGGTTCAAAACCGTTACAAATGTTTAGATGCTTTCCTGAATCAGGGCCTTTATGAACAGTTGCCCAGATGATTTTCTTCCATTTCATATGCATAATTCAGTATTCCTGTGTCTTTGTTGTGAATAGCTATGCAATAAAACTATTGTCTAAATGTACTCTGTATCTTTTCGAATTCTGAACACAAATGTCAGCGGGGGAGTCTGAAGTGGGTGATGGACGAGTACACTAAAACTTTTGTCATCTGAAAACTACATTCAAAATATGGTTTGTGCAACATATGCAAATGGTCAAGAAAATGAGCATCTCACAAAATTTGGAGCAAAAGCACAATTAAAGCCATCAGGCATTCTACAAAATCTAAGGGTTGATTGTTGGAGAGATAGGGATGAAATTTGCATGGTAGTGGCCATAAGCCAAGCATCTTTGCACATTCATAAAAATTAAATTCATGCACATTTTGCTGTTGCCTAACTTAATTCCACTCAGATGTAGCAATGTGGTTAAATGGCCTATTAAGATCAGTTAAAGCAACCAGAAACACTGATTTCTATACTCTTAAAGATGCAGAATTTTGCTTGCGTGGTAAAAATGTAGATGAAACAAATAGACAAAAATTCTGTTCAAACAGTGGGCAAATAATACAAACATAATGGAATACAGCTGTGGATTTTTATGATTAGTACTGTGTTATGGACATGTTATATTAACTGTTTAAGTTGTAATAGTCTTTTCATTATAACCCTGATAATCTAATTTTAATCTAAGTCCCTTTTGACTAACATTTTGTACATGTAATTATAATGACAGATAGAAGTTCATCTTAATTGGAGAGACAATTTTTGAGAGAGGACTGTCTGAAAAACATGTCTGTCTATTTGCAAGTTCTCTTGCTTCATACAGTTCTACCTAAGAGCAGAATGGTTCAGGAGGCTCACTTTGGTTTTGCACAGTAATCATAGGTCAGGTTGGTTACTTTTAAATATTTCTCCCAAACAGTTTCCAAAGAGAGGTCCTTAACAGTTATTCTATTAGGTCGTGCTGATGTCTTCTTTTTTCTAGTTGATCTAAAAAGCAGAGTTGCATTCTTTGAGACAGTGTATTTCTAGGGGATTTCTCCCTTTTCTCAGAGTGGGAGAAATTCTTTTGGTATCAACATTTTTTTTCTTAAATATCTGCATCTTTTGTTCTGAATAGGTATCTGCCTGTCATATACAAGTGACATGATCTTCTTTAGAAAAAATATAAATGATTCAAAAATTTGTGATCTTACTATGTTACTTTTTAGAAATAGTTCTGAGATTATACACATTCTGGAAAATAACATGCATTAAAAATAAGCATCTTTATTATTTGAAGAGTTTGTACTTTCCAATTCTTCTTTGTTTTGTTTTGGTTTACATTTAAATCCCTGTTGTTTTTACCTCTTGGCTGTTTCTTCACATTTCATTCCCTTTTCCTCTGTGTCTCACCTTTCTGCTTGTTCTGTCTTTCTTTTCCTCCTTTTCTGTACTGCCCAAGTGTTGTATCCTGGAGGTGTTAAAATTCAGAGGACAGGAGGAAGAGCCATAGGAAGCAAAAGTAGGATATGGCTTTAAGGATCTAATATGAAATACTTGTATCATTTGTCTTACATTGTTGTGATCACCTTATGTGTAATACTTGCCTCCAAAGGTCCTTGCATTTAGTTAGTCACCCGTATTGTGGAGCACATTCTGTTGTTGTGCCTTAACCTCTTGTGAAAAATCCCCAGTGGTGCCTTGTGATTCTGGCTGCAGTGGGAAGTGTAGAGCAGTTACAATTACATAGCTTAGAAATTTTTAAAAAATATTAATAAAATTAATAAAATAATATTAATAAAATCCTGAAAACAATATCAAGGGAATTTTTTCAAGTAAAACATGGCATGTTATTTATCAGAAATGTCAGTATAAGGGGAATATATAGCAATGGATGGGATGCAGATAGGTTTATTAGGTAGATGGTTGTATCCACATAGCCTAGAACAATACGAGAAGGACCATAAAGGTGCCGTGTACCGTATTTTCTTGTCATAGTTGCTAATGAATATAACACTCTCTCGCTAATGGACATGACTGGCTCTAACAGGGTGTGTTTTCCCTGCAGTTTGCGGTTATTTCAGAAGTTTGACAACTTCAGGATTCTTGTGTGTGGTGGCGATGGAAGCGTGGGTTGGGTCTTGTCAGAAATTGATAAGCTCAGCTTGCACAAACAGGCAAGTGTGCACGCTTACTTTCCTTTACTATACTGACTGGATTTAATTTTGTATGCTTGCTTTTCCTTGACTTGGTTCTTTGTCATATCTCTGTATATGGGCCAAACTCAATAGTTAACTGTTAAATGAGAATTTTCACTGGTGTAAACAGGACAAGTTGTATCAGGATTGCACCATTTGATTTACAAGCTTTACACATCAGCTGAATAATTAACATTTGTTGCTTGAGATAACAAGCATTTGTAGTAGTGTGTACTTTTTCTTCTGGTTTTCAATAGTAGCTTTGCTCCTGTGTTGTGTTTCAGTGTCAGTTAGGAGTGTTACCCCTTGGTACTGGAAATGACCTGGCACGTGTCCTCGGTTGGGGAGGATCCTGTGATGATGATACGCAACTTCCTCAGATTTTGGAGAAACTAGAACGAGCCAGCACGAAAATGTTAGACAGGTAAACCTAAATGTGCATATACATGATTTACATGAGATTCAAATGGTATTTGTTTGGGTTTTTGATGGCCTAAATTTGTCTTAGAGACTTAAGTGTTCAGTGGTTTTGGTTTTTAGGGTGCAGGTCATAATCATGAGGGAAGCCAAGATAGCAATGGGGACAGCTTTTCAATGTCCTTTTTAAACTGAAGAGTCACAGGGGAGAGCAGCTGACTAAACTAGGAAGCATGTTGCCCAAAGGTGAACAAAAGGTGACAGTTTATTGCCTGTTAAAAGAAGTTGTAAGCATTAAGAAATTGTATAGATTCAAAACCATTTGGGGCAGTTTTATGGACTCCATGCATGCTATTAAATACCGTTAAAGGTATCATCTTTATTTAGGAAACACCTGAGCTCTCTGGTCTTGCCTGTGGGGAGAACTCATATCGTATGCTTTCACCCTTCATATAATTTCCTGAGGCATCAGCTGGGGATAAGATGCTGGGCTAACTGGATCTTTGGCTTGATCCATTGCTAATATTTCTGTTTGAGGCATCTCCTTAGTAAAAAACAAGAGATCTTCCCACTTCTTGTTTCTTGTAGTTTCCATCCTTAAAGCAAAGGAGCAATCCCTATTTTAAAAAAAGTCAGAGAAGAGGACGATCATGTCGTTCCAATGAAGCTGTAACTGTTTTTGAGAGGAGTATGTCTTACTCTGTTCCTTTCTCTCATGAGTGTTCCTATTCTTGCTCTAGTTACAAACACTTGAATGACGTCAAAGGGGATTTTATTTTAGGGTTTTTTTTTAAGTGAAGTAGGGAAACAAGTCCTTTTTTATTTTAAGTTTTTCTGCAGACTACTTCATCATTTTACAGCAAAGTATGTAGAGAAATGCTTGTAACTGATCCTTAGAAAGAATTGTTGGTGTCCTGGGCATTTGGAAAGATTTGTAGATTAAATCATGTTTGCCTATTTCTGTACTGAAAAAAAGCTCAGTTTCATTTTTTGCTCTAATTTCAGTAGACTTGCTCCCAAAGCCGTCTGCAGTGATGACTTGTTCTTTTCAGCAGGCTTTGAAGGATGTTGCTGTTAGCAGTTTCATACTGTCTGTGCCGTAAAGTACTGTCCTTTACCAGGGGGAAAAAAAAAAAGTGTCAATGAAGATACTTCACCATTTGCTGTGTTCTCATGCCTGCCTCCCCTAGTTGAGATGAAAAATTAATATTACCTTTGAGCATTTTCTCTAGGAACACACCTGTTTCCCTTTGACTTCTGCAGTTAGTTTGCACAAATTCTTTTATATTGTGATTGTTTTGCTGTAAAATCTTTGTTGCCTGCATTGAATGTCCCATGATTTGTTCACCAATAAGACTCGTCTTCAGATCCCTAACAATAATCTGAGCAATAAAACAAATTATTGCCACTAATCTCAATTACTTCATCCATATGCAATGGGGTTACAATTAAAAATTAATTTTTTTATTATCAAGTTCTTCTGTGGTATGACAATGAATTTTCTTTTCATTGATATGTTGGAGAAAAGATAAAACTAACAATCTGGAAACTTAAAAGCTCTCAACGTTTCTTTCAGGTGGAGTATAATGTCATATGAACTGAAATTACCAGCAAAGCCTTCTATTCTTCCAGTGACTGCAGAAGAGTCGGAGGAATGCCAGGTGGACTTTTACTTTTGTTTTGCTGTTTCACATACTTAACTTTGAGCTTCTGGGATGACAATATAATTGAAGCACTTGTGTGAAAAATAGAAAGAGATATTTTGAGATCTGCTAACTGAATTAAGTTAACATCTGTTCATGGCGTATATCTCAAGTAATTAGGGTTTCCAGTCATTTGCCAAAAATGAATGAAGGTAAGGAGTCTTCAGCAGAGCAGACAGGAAAATTGTTGACTGAAAAAAATATTTTCTGACTGAAAAAAAAAATTAAATCTATTTTAATATATGTTATAAATTAGTTTAGCTATTAGATAATATTTTATATAAGAATATAATATACTGTTATGTAATATAATAACAACTATATTTTTGTTTCATTATTATAAATAAAGATATATTATTTT